AAATGGTGTTGAGCTGGCGCCCAGGCGTCGACTGACTTATCTCGAATACGCCGATGCTATCGTCTTACTCGTTTCATGCTTTGATGGTCTGCAGTTTATAGTGTCACGGGTAAGGCCGTTAAATCGGTTGGTTTATCTATAAATGCTGGGAAAACCAAAGCATTTTCGAGCAGCATCCTTGACCAGGCCAAGGCACCTCCGGGATCACTGGCTGTCAACTGAAAGAAGTAGACAGTTTCAAATACCTCGGATCGAGGTTGCTGCCTAATCAGCAGAGTGAGGACGACAGTGTTTACCGAATTCATGCTGTTCGCCGGGTTTTCTCGAGTCTTGGGAATTTCTTATGTATGCGACGCGATATGTTCATCGCCACGAAGATTCGGGTCTATTGTGTATCCGTTCGGTCTGTTCTACCTTATAGATGTCAATGCTGGGCTTTGTGTGTTGAAGATGAGCGAATAGTGGAGGTATTTGATCACTACTCCTTGAGGACTATCCTCCGAGTGAAGTACACCGACTTCGTCAATGATGGTTCGCACACGTCCTTCGTCGTTTACCTCACTTGCTCCGTGACACTATCAAGGCCAGCTAGATCACGAATAATCTCAACTGTACGAAGTCAAAATACTAGCAAATATATCTCTAACCCTAACAGGCGGTCTTTAGAGCTGTATGTCGCATGCTCCAACGTCGGTTTATCTCCAGTGAGGAAGGCTTTGATCACGCCTGGTCAGGACTGCATCAATTAGGCAGCATTATAAAATAATTCACAAGCTGTGGGTCGTTCGCGATTGTCGAAGTATCATGGGATTTTGCGACACGCATAAATGTTGTTGCTGGGTCGCGGCCTTTTTAGTTAACTGTATAATGCCATCTTAACGCAGCCTTATTAATTTTTGGGCATTTATTTCCCGCATGCTGTTTGGGGAGGGACATCCTGAGGTCATCGAGACACTAAAACGTATTTGGAACCACTGACGCACTTTGTAGCGCTTGGTTTGGACCTGCAAACGATGTCATGAAATTTGTACCGACATTTTGAAATGCGATTACATTTATGAAGGATTACTTGAGTGAGCTTGCAATATCAATCAATGTGCGGTATAATCGCAGGATTTTTTAGACACACAGGAATTTCGGCCTTTGTCTACATTGCTTTTCGGCTGCCTGCAAAAGCCACACTCAACTTGTGCTTTCCCCCTGAGTTAAGTTTTCGTACCCAGATGAGAACCGTTTCATATGAAGGCCGGCACTCCACAACTTATGCACAAACTCACGATTTTTCTTCATAATTGCGAGTCCTACAGTTATTTACTTAACATACTCTTTGTTGAAAGCAACGTTTTTTGAATGTCGGTAAGTGGCACCATTGCTTTGAGATTGACCGTCTGTAACCATGATTGCAGAGAAGTTACCGACCACAGTGTCATTTGAAGCGTACGCTCACAACTCTTTTCGTAATGCACAGTTGGTTGCACTTTCCTTTGAGACACAAGGCACATAAAATGTTGTTAAATCAAAGTCTTGATCACCAGCGGTCCTCCGCTAGTTTTTCAGCGAGAAGCAAATCCCGTCCTGCTGGTCAAAAAATTATTAGGCCTGCCATACTGCTATTGTACAAAGCACACAAGTCACCATTATTGACCCTGCTCCACTGTTCAAGGAAGATCAATTGATTGCATTCTGTAGACAGAGGCCACATGACTTCTGAGGTTTTAGCGCTATGATCAATCCTGATTGTTTGCTAGTGGACATTGGGCTCAGGATTCGTGCAACATGCCGAAATTTTCGAAAGATTGATACACATTCGCTAATCACCATTGAGTAAGTTTGGAATAAGGATTATCGTGTAGCCTATTCTCAAGTCATTTCAGTCACGATAGGATGCTGGCATTTTAACGAACTTCCTTCTGATCGCTAACAAAAAGTATGTACTGTAAAAAATGGCTACTTAAGAAGTATGCATTTTTATCTTTGATTTTAACTGCCTTTATAAATGCAAATACATTTTAGGGAAAATGCGCACGAAAAATTCTTCTGTGTACCTGTTTAGTAGTAAATTGCGCCTTCGTTAAATTTTATACTTAGAGAAGGCGTATAATTCGGTTTTAAAAGATTTCTAATCATGATATTTTTTACGATTGTGAGTAGCTATTTTTAATAATAGAGTCTAGCTTTTGCAGGCAGCCGAAAAGTGGCCCGTTCTAAAGCCGGCATCCTGACCTGAAGAAAATATGCTAGATTGTATTGCATAATAATTAGTATTACTGCCCTTATTTTGTGTTTTCTAATTAAAAACACGTCTCGGAATTTCTCACTAGATTTCGTATGATAGCTCATCTACTGAACTCTTTTAGCGGCTGCGTCTTTGTTTCCATTGCAGCAATTCATACTACTTAAATAGGCAACACTGAAACCCCACCCAAGTTATTCCTCCGCACCGA